ATCTATTTTTATTTTATTTATATGTGTATATGTGTATAATATGAATACATACATACGAGTACATACTCACACATAATATAAGTACTAATAGAATTCTAATTTATCTTGAGATATAGAAATTTTATTTGTTTTTTATTATGATTAATAATAACAAAACAACCATCAATAAATAAATTTTATTTAAACAAATAAAATTAAAAAAAAAAAAAAACGAAAAAAAAATTCTTGTTAATTGTTTTTTAACCTTGCGGAAAGTAATTGAATTTTTGTTTTTTTTTTTAGTGTAATTTCGAAAATTAGAAGTCGGAAACGTTTTATTTATTTTATTTGCTTTTTTATTTTTAAATTTTTTCAATTTTATTTTTATAATAAAATTATTTGTCAGTCTTATTGTATAAATAACCGTACATTCATATTAAATTTCGCGAATGAATTTTTTTTTTGCAAATTTAAAAATAAAATAAAAATTTTATTTTTTTTTTTTGTTGTTTTTGTTAGCATTGTGCAAGTAGCTATTTTACAAATTTATTAATTTCTTTAGAAATTTCATTTCGTGGGAATTTCATTTTTTTTCATAATTTTGTCTATAAAATTTTCAGAATTAATTAAGAATTTTAAATAAAGCGGACTATGAGTTCTAAGATTAAACTATGAAAAATAAGTGTGAATTTTTAATAAAATTAAGAATTAATGTTAATAATAATTTGTATTTGCATTATAACGCACATGCAGCTAAGAAAACTCACCTCTATATTAATGAAAATCTCTTGATTTATTTTAAAATTCCAAAAAACAAAAAAAATATTGAATTGTAATTAATAAATTGAAAATAATTAATAAATTGTGGCCGAAAACAATCTACCTTCCATTCTGGTTTGCAAAATCAATAAATGTTTTTCAGTTTACAGTCGAACGCATATAAAAATTGTTTAACAGTAAAACTCATTTTTAATTAACAAAACAAAAATGGTTAGCCTCAATTTTTTCACTTTTTCAATTTTGATTTTGCAGCTTTTAAAATTTATATTTGGGTTAAGCATAAAAAAAAATATTAATTTGAAATTTAAATTTTGTGAGTACATTTATTTGAATTTTACGTAATATGTTAACACACGTAAAAAACAAAATTATATAAGGACTAAATAAGTTTAGGAAACGAAAATCTTATAACTTTTCCATTAGTTTTTAAACCGTCCCGGACTATACGGACAAGTAGTAATTCTCTTGCTAAATTCGTTTTGAAACAACACCAACTGGAAATTCTATATTTAATGTATTTCCAATTGGTTAAAGTTTTGCATTAAATTATTTAAAAAAAAAAACTTGAAAATTTTTTATTTGAAGTGGAAAACAATAAAACATGTTAACGATCTATAAAGTTAATAAAAATTTCAACGTGCAAATAAAAAGAAGGAAATTATAAAATTAAATAAATTTTTTTTTTAATTATTGAATAATTAATTTTATTATTTAACTTTGCGTTAAGTATAAATATAAAAGAAAAACTTCATTTTATCAAATTATTTGAATAATAAAGAAAAAATTTTATTTATTTTTGTAGAAAATAAATTTTTAGTACTTGCGGGAAACAATCGTGTTTTCTTATCAGATTTTGCGAATTTTTTTTTTAATTTTTTTATCTTGCAATTGTTATTTTGTTACAAAAGAAAGCAAGTTTCATTTAAGTTCAATTAACTTGAATTTTATTCTTTTTTTTTATTTTTAAAGTGGTTTTGGTTTTGTTGTGAGAATTGTGTGTGTGTTATATATACACATTTTTTAATTTAAATTAAATTTAGAATACGAGTAATAAATTAAAATTAGAATAAGAAATTTAGAATAATTATTGCAGAATATTGTACAGTATACTATTCATACTCATACCCATTTCATACTCACACTCATTTCAAACTCATACCCATTTCATACTCATACTCATTTCATACTCATACTCATTTCATACTCACACTCATTTCATACTCAACTCATTTCATACTCATACTCATTTCATACTCATACTCATTTCATACTCATACTCATTTCATACTCACACTCATTTCATACTCATACCCATTTCATACTCATACTCATTTCATACTCATACTCATTTCATACTCATACTCATTTCATACTCACACTCATTTCATACTCATATCCATTTCATACTCATACTCATTTCATGCTCATACTCATTTCATACTCATACTCATTTCATGCTCATACTCATTTCATACTCATACTCATTTCATACTCACACTCATTTCATACTCATATCCATTTCATACTCATACTCATTTCATACTCATACTCATTTCATACTCATACTCATTTCATACTCACACTCATTTCATACTCACACTCATTTCATACTCATACCCATTTCATACTCATACTCATTTCATACTCATACTCATTTCATACTCATATCCTTTTCACACCAAAAAACATATTTATATCAAAACTACAGGTGTACAACTCATAAATTACAAGTCGAAGATGAAATTCTATTTTTTTTTCTTGTACGTATAATATCCAAGTATTCGATATTGTTGATTAATTAGATTGCGATGTGTGCCTGTGCAACAATGGTAATACCTAAATGCAACACATTAAATATGTAATTTCTTTTTCCCAAAATTTTTGAATGTGAATTTTTTTTGTAATTTCTCTATTCCTTTTGTCTCTATGTTACAGTTTCATCTACATATGTACATACATACTTGCATATGCATAGACAGTTCATCTCGAAATTTAAATAGGCACCTACTGCAAATTGTATTTATTTTGATTTATCTTGTTCACTGCTCAGTGTAATTCACTTTTCTCCGAATTATATATGGACATACGAAATTATATACATTCATATGTATGTATATGTATATTACGTATAAGTATGAATGAAATTCCAATGAAAATTAAATTTAATTTTATATTTTTATTTAGAAAAAATTTTAATATAGAACAGAGAAAAGTGCTGGAATATTTATTTACTATCTATGTATGTATAAATATATTATGTATATAATATTTACCTTCATATACACACATACCAATACAAATATAAGAAAATAACAAAAAAAAAATAAAAAACAAAATCTATTAATAATTATTTTCAAAAAAAATTTACCATATTTTGAATAATAATCGTATTTTTTTTTTTTTTTTGACTAATTTCACACGCTACGCTACAAATATTTTTATAATAATACCGTTATAAAAAATATGACCTCTAATACATTCTCAGAAAGTTAAGACAAAAAAAAAAAATAAAAAAGCATAAAAATTAAATAGAGAAAAAAATTAATAAGAAAATTTTTATTCAAATTTTACGTCATTCAATATTTGACAATATAATTATCATAATAGGAGATAAAAATTTGTACGACAAAAATACTACATGTACATACATGCACAGATATATTTATGTATATTTTATTTTATTATAATATTATTAATATTAAAAAAATTCAACCTCAAACTCCCACTCGTGTTCATTTGCTCTCGCTATACGGGATTACTTATTAAAAAAAAAAACAGAAATTCAAAAATAGAAAATTAAACATCACTCTCTACTAATCTCTACACAAAAAAAAAATAACAACAATAAAAATAATGAAATGATAAAAAAAATATATAAAATTTTATTTACACGCACATAAACACTCATCTAGGAGTATAAATATAATTTAAGAAAAATTTTTCTCTACTGTATTTCATTATTATTTTTATTGCTATACAAGGTGATTAAAAAATGCAACAATTTTTATTGATTTCCTCAAAGCGAATTAATTTTTTTCCTTTTGTTTATTGCCTCTTTTTTTTATTCTCTTAATTTTTTTATATTAATATTTATAATTTTGTTTTTAATACCCGTATATTCATACATACATATAAGTACATATGTATGTATATATTATATAACAATGATAATTAACCCCCTTAATTTAAATGTAGTATTGAGTATTTGCATAAAATTACGGTACTTACTCTACTTACACCAGATATACATACATATGAACAAGAATGAGTAATATACACCCAATTAAATAATAATTAAGTATGTACGTATGTAGGTAAGGAACTGATTATATCATTTTGTTAGAAAAAAAAGTGTTAGAATGTAACACCTAGCAAATTTATGTGCATTTAATACCCCTCATTTTTGGGTATAATATAAAAATTGGTGAATTCTATATGTATTATAAAAAATGCGTTAACTTATATGAAGTATCGCCTTGCATAATAATTACGCAGAAATTTTGACAAGAAAATGTTGTAGTAAAGACAATCTATGAACGCACCGCACCAACTGTTGTACCTGAAAAAAAAATTTAGTGGAAAATAAATTAAATATTTATTTAATTGTATTTTATTATTATTTTTTTTCTTTTTAATATTCTATCAAACTTGAAACTTTAAATTATTATCAAAGAATTTATTTATTTATTTTTTTCCTTTCCTGTTTTATTGTGAGTGACGCGTCAGTCTGGGTCAATATTTGAAGACCTTTGAAAAAAAAATAATAAATCCAAAATAAGCAAAATTTCAAAAAGAAAGAAAAAACTCTCTTCTTCTTCTTGAATTTTGACTATCAAAAAAAAACCTTCGAATAATTTTCACTAAGCTAGTTATCTGCTCAGAATTTATTAAATAATCTCTTCAAGTTTAATTTAATAAGTAATTAGTAAGAAGAAGAGTAAAAACAATTTCTCTTCTATTTAAAAAAAATTATAGCAAAAGCTCAGCAATGTAGGAGAGGAAGACGGCCGCAATTATTGTTATACTTAAAACCATTAACCTGAAATTATTTCTGCAATTAATTTATTTTTGAATAATTTCATCATTTAATTTTATAATTATTATTGTTAATTTGCCGGTTTTTCTATTAAATGTAAATTATAAGTACCTTTATAATTATTATCAAATATTCTACTAGTTTTTATCTCTAAAATTTTCTTAGAATTTAAAATATTCAATTTTTTTATTATTTTTAATTTTAGATCAACTACAATAACCAATTTACGTTTAATAATTAAGTCTATTGATAAAATTATTGTATTGGATTAAAGTTCACTAAATAAGAAATTGAGAGAATTGAAAAAAAAAACTACTGAAAATTGAAAGCTGTTTTATTAAGTGCCAAATAGGTAAGTAATTAAAAATTATTTAATTAGTTTTAAATATTAAAAGAGGAAATTCTAACGTGTATAGTAATTTCGGACTCATACTAAGAAATTAGGGTGAAAGTAAAAAAGATTTTTACTTAAATGAAATAAACGTTAATTTGTTTTAAGTAATCAAAAAGAAAATCAAAAAAAAATTTGACGTTTTTCTATATAAAATGCGAAATTAACGTCAAACTTTTGCTCTCCTATAGCTTTAATTTTTTTTTGTTTACACTACAAGTAATTGTCAAATCAAAATTTGATTAATAAAAACTAAAAAATTACATTTTCAATTACAAGTAACAATGCGCATCAAAATGCATAAATGCAAAAAAAAAAATCTTCATAAATTTTTTAGTTTCCAAAATAATAAATGAATAAATATAATTTATATAAAGTCGATTTTGAAATTAATTGAAATCAAATTAAAAAAATGAAAAGGGAACGGTTTTAAAGACAATTTTGACACCTTCGATTGACATAAGAATAACAGCTCAAATACATAAATGTAAATGTTAATTATTTTTCGAAAATTCTATCAATTTCAAATAATGTGATAAAATACATAGATTTTTTTTTTGTTACTAACAATGAAATTCATTCTAAAATGTTTTCCATACTTATACAAAAATTTGTGTTAATAAAATATTAACCTTCAAATTGTACTTAATTTTATAAAAATATAAAACTATTCATAACATCTTGCTTTGACATCTGTTTCAAGGTCATTTATAGTCTAAAAATTGAAATTTTTATTTTAAAAAATGTTGTCAAAATGCGGTATATTTATTTCGGTACTACTTGCCTTGCTATTGATTTTTTTCTCTTTTGTTTCTTAATTTTAAATAAAGTAAATTGATTTTTTTTTTGTATAATAAAAATGTTTTCATAAATTTTACAATATTTCAAAATCTAAAATGTATTTTAAATGTATTTTACTGTTGCGGCAGACGAGCGATTACAAAGTTATTCAAATTGGAATTCGAAATTAAGAATTAATAGTACAAAACAACAATGTGACGGGTAACAATATTATATTCATCATTTCAATTTCGAATTTTCGAAAAATCATTGTATTTTGGCAAGTACATTTTGAACACAAGAGCAATTAAACAAAATTTAAGAGAGCTTTCAGACAATCAATTACTAAAATTTCGAAAATTATTCTATTTCGATATTTATTATCATATTCTACCATAATTATCTTACACAGAAAAAGATATCGAGTAAAATAAAATTATTTTTTACAATTATATGTATATAAAATAACTTTATTGAGTTTAAATAATATTAAATGTCAATGGTTTTAAATTTTTAATATTGTGAATATTTTGCAATTTAATTAGGGTGACTTGCGTTCTCAATATTTTAATAAGTGATGACAATTTTTGATACTTTCTCATGAAGAACATCAATATTTTTTTTTTTACTCCAATTTTAACAAATTGACAATTATGTAAAAAGAATCGAATTAAATAATTTTAGCACCTATCACAATTAGCACATTTAACACAATTTTATTTTTTAATTTTATTTCTTATAATTAAATTACAATGTTTTCAAAATTTTTATGTAATTTTTAATTTAAATTAATTAATTTCTCGTACTACGGGCTTTCAATTCACTTTAAAACCCATATATTTGTTTGTATTTTTTTTGTTATTATTATAATAAACGTATTTTTGAAGTTTCATGACGTTTTTAAAAAAGCTCCATCTATCGGTATCACGTTAATAATATTAACTTTTCTGTTTATTTTAACTAGTATTTTGTTAGCAAAAGAATTAAAAAAAAAAATAGCTACGTAAAATTCTATCTAAATAAATATTTATTTGCATATACATACCTACATATGTATTGATAATATTATAGCGCGCTTATATACAAATATTGTTTGAGATTATTAAAGAAAAAAAAACAGGTAACTTACAATTAAGATGAATAAAAAAGCACATTTTAATAATTAAATTTTTAAATACATACAATATGTTGTCAAGAATGTTTTCCAAAAATTCAGTATTATTTTGACTAAAATGTCTAAGAAGCAATTCAATGTAGGTGGCACTATGTATTTTGAAAGATTTTCAAAAACACTGAAAAACGATGTTTACGGTATTAACAAATGAACTATTTGTGAATTACAGCATGCAGCATCTTTTTGTTCACAAATGAACTTTGTTTCATAGTATTGTTTCATTCAGTTTCAAATCGGTTCAATGGGATACTTTTTAAACTATCGGGATAAGACCTTTTCTCGTTATCTCAATTCCGAAATTTTTACAATAAAAGCTGCGCAAAAAAATTTTTTATTCAATTGATCTTTAAAATTGTTTGCAATACAAAAGGGTTAAAGTTTTTACGAAAGTTCCGTTTAACTCAAATTTTTTAACATAATTAACAGACGAGACGAAATTGATTCATTTAGCAATAAAAAATAAACTTTTTTTTATTGCTAAATAATTTATATTATATACACATACAAACGCTGATTCATTTTGGAATATTTATAATAAAAATATATTCTTGATAAATATTTAATTTAAATTGTGACGTAAAATATTAATAAAAAGAGACAATTAGTTAAAAAAATCCCCGTATAGGTACTTAATACAAAAATCAAAATTTATTAATAAATTATTTATTACTTAATCTTCTAACTAATATTCACTAAAACCCCTGTATATTTGATATTTTATTTTAATAATTATTAGTTCATAGAATATTAGAGACTATTTTTAATAATTTGTAAATTAGTTCAATAAAAATATTTAAACATAATAAGTGTGCTATAATTTTATTTAGTTTTTGTGCTACGCTCTTCGCTAAAGAACGTTTACACTATGTTGAAATACATAATAATATATTGATGAAAGTTTTAGTCAGTTGAAAATGTAATTTTTATACTTATATATACATATAAAATGATATATTAATAAAATTTAATTTTTTATAATTTCAGAAATCAAATTATCCATTGTGCCTCATAACCTTAACTAAAAAAAAAAAACAAAAGTGAAAAAAATATTAAATTTTTGTTAAATATAATGCCAAGAAGCTTATGACAGATAAGAAAAGAAATTTAAACTAATAGAAAATATTAAATCAAAATATGCAAGTAAAAAAAGCTAGGTAAGCTTATGATTTTTAAATAATTAAATAAAATTGTAAAAATCCAATTACTAACCACATTTTATATAATTTTAGGACTGAATCAGCTAGAAAACCAATTGTTCCTCCACCACAATCCTCTTTGCCTGAAAATATAACTGTTAGAACACAATCGAAAACAAAAGTTTCAACTGGAAGTCGTAGAAATAATATTAGTAAGTTTTATTTTAATTCAATTTTAAATGAGTCTAAATTTTAAAATATATCCCTTTTAGTTGGTTATGTTCCTCGTGTAAATAGACAAGAAGTTGTTGCACCACCTTTAACAAATATTTTAACAGGAAATCCAAATAATGGTGCAGCAACATTACCAAGTATACCATTAATTGATGATGATGTTATACCATGCTTCAATGGTGGATTACCAATATTAGATTTACAAAATGGGCGAACTTCAGAAAAAAAATTAAATGGTGTTGAATCTAAGAGTGGAAAGAATACTTTATCAAAATCATCATCACCATTGCAACAATCTACTTATAATAAAAATGGTTTGCCATCATTATTACCTTCAACTACAACGACAACGACTACAATACCAACAGTATCATCATCATCATCTACAACACATTCAAGACAGCCAAATCAAAAATCTAGCTTTAATACTTTATCATCAAAAAAGGATAAATCAAATGATTTATCAAAAACTAAAGCAAAGGATAATAAAAAGAAATTTGAACAACAAAATGACAACATCGTCAATTCGATATCATCCTCCAAAAAAGAAAAAAAGTCTACACAACAAAAAATAAATTCTAATTTAAATAATGGTTTACCAAATTTAATTGATGATGAATTCGGTTTTGGTCGATCTTTGTTATCTGAATCAAGTGATGATGATGAGGCTGAAGATGAATCATGTAAACAAGAAATTTCATATAATGAATTTGGTTTACCTATTTTAACTAGTAAGAATAATAATAATAATAATAATAATAATATAAATAACAAAAATAGTGGTAGCAATGCATTTAATTATCCTGAAACAAATAATAATGAAAGAAATTCATTTGAATCAGGATCATCCACTTCCATGATAAATAATGGTTATAGTAATGGTTATAAAAATGATATTTCTCAATCAAAATCAAATTATAATATAAAAGAGAAAAAATTTAGTAATGTTAAAAATACCAATAATAATTATAATAATAATAACAATAATATAAATATTAATAGTAATGTGAAACATGAACCTGTGATAACAAAGGAGTCAAATTTTAGGAATGAATTAAATTTTAATAAGGAGACTTTTACAGCGCAAAAAAGACAATTAAACAAATTTCCAATACAACAACAAGATCAAGAATTGCCTACAAAAATGAGAAAAAAAGATGATTCAAATCATATTCATAATGAAAATATTAGCGAAATGAAAAAAGATAAAAAAGATAAGAAAAATAAAAAAGATAAAAAGGAAAAGAAGGATAAAAAGGGAGAAAAAGAGAAGAAAAATAAATATTCAAATAATGAATTAGGTAACCAAGATCATTCTTTAACATCAAATTTGCATAAAGTAAATAATCAAAATATGGAACCATTATCTAAATATAATAAATCATTTTCACCGCTAGAATTAAATGAGAAATCAAGAACAAATTTTTCAACTTCAGATTCATTAAATTCATCTTATAACAATTCTAATTCAAAACCTAATTATCCTGTAAATAATTTTAGCAACAATATTAATAAAAGTTTGCCTGATTTAACTATTGTAATTGACGACGATGACGATGATGATGATTTCAATGAAAATAGAGCCTATAATCAATATAATCATGATAATAAACAAATTGTTAATAATGAAAAAATCTCCCAAAAATCCTCTAATTTTAATCATAATAATGCTTCTGACTTTTTTGGTTTACCAGATTTATCTTGTGCTATTAATAATAATGAAATTAATGATAATAATAAATCATTTGATAATTTTACATCATCATCATCATTATCGCCATCATCATCCTTTTTGTCTAAGCAAACAAAACCAATATCAGCAGCAAATTATAATATTAATTCAATAAATCGAAATAATAATTTTCAAGATTTTGAAAAATCAAAATTAAAAATGCAAAAAGGCCAACCAAATTATCAAGATTACAATCAACAAGATTATTATAATTTACAATCACATCAATTACAACAGCAAAAATTTAATAATTGTCAACAAGATTATAAAGAAAATTTTGTAAATATATTTAATGCTGAAAATGTAAATTCGAATTTAAATGAGAATCAAAATTATATAAAAGATACTTTCGATTTAAATAAAAAAATTGAAAATCATTTTAATACAGAATCTAATTGTGGATATTATGATAAATTAAATCTTAATAGAGATAATACAAACAAATATATTGGTCTTGAAGCCATTAAATCTGATGATCATTTAAATTCTCGTGGAACATCAGAATCGGTAATTTAAAAACTCTGTAATAATTATTCAATATTTTATTAAATGTTTTTTTTTTTTTATTTTTAGGAAGTTGGTATTTTGAGCTCATCGGATTCTAGTTCAAGTGATAGTGATTCCTCAAGTTCAGATTCGGATTCTGATGATGAATCTCGAAAAAGACATTCTAATAAAAATAAGAAATCATATCAAAATACAACAAATTTTCAACAACAGGAACAAGAACAATATGGGATAAATAATTTCCAATCATCAACTACTTATCATAATAATAACAATAACAATAATAATAATAGTAACAGTAGTAATTATAAATATCAACAATCATATAATCGAAATAGTTATAATAATAATAGTAACATAAATAATGTCGCTTTTTTGCATAATGATTTAAAACTATCAGAATCTGATTCATCTGATTCAGAATTATGATAGAATATAGTAATTTAATTTTCCTACATACATGCATATATATTAATATTTAAAAAAAAAAAGATATTCAGATTAAGAGTCTTTCTATTCCTAAGTTACATTGTTTTTTATGAAATATATCAAATTAATTACTTTAAAAATATTTCATATCAAATTATAATTTCAATAATTTTTTTTTAGTAGAAATATTTAATTTGAAGCTATTAGAGAAGAACTATTAAATTTTATTAATTGTTGAACTTGACCTCGTATTTGTTCATTATTGCTGATTCTCTTTCTTAAGCAGAAATTAGATGCCGGTTGATAAACTTCCTTAGATGATCCGCTTTTTCCTTTTTTAACTACTGCAGAAATTCATTTTAAGATTATAGTTCCTTAGTATTCCTTTTCCTTCAACTGTTCAACTCAGGACTACTTACTCATTGATTACACAATAAGGTTTAATTGAGAGTCATAATTTAGTTTTTGATATAGTTTCATTGAAATAGTTACTAGCGAATATTTTTTTGCATGAATTTATAAGAACTTGAAAGCATTAAAAAAATTCGCATTCGATAAAAGCATTCATCTAATGGATTTTTTTAAAACAATTACAATGACGGTTCCCAACATATTACGAAAAGCCTCCAATAGAGTAAACTTTTAATACTAATTTTCTGCATTTAATTTTGTTTGATGCAACTATATTGAAATCGTTCTTGATAGCAATATTATTAGAAGAGTTATTGAAATCGTTCTTGGTAGCAATATTATTAGAAGAGTAAACTGGAATTATTCTTTTAATATTTGAGTTTTTGAATATTCAGAAATATTATTAAAATGTTTCTTAATTTGAAACTAAAACATCAAAGACAACACCAATTCAAAAAATATTTGAAAGCGGCATATTAAAGTTCTTCTTGAAGTGGACTGTTAATCGTCTGTTTTATCGCATTCCATACAAGAGAAAGCTTCAGACAACATCTTATATTCTTTGAATTTTTAAAATATTGCTAAATCAAATCATATTTTTGTGTTTTTTATGGCTTAAAAGTTGATAACTTTATTCATAGAATTTTATTAGTGTGACAGCTTTTTAGATTACCGGGATTTTTTACTTGTTTCTGAATAAGTTGAATGATTTATTTATGTTTGTCATTTTATGAGATTCGAAACAAAATCGTTAAATTATTCTTAAATGCGCCAGAGCATAATATTTTTTATAATTATTGTTCTCTACAATTTAAATAAAAAACCAGTGAGTTTGTTCACAAAATATAGTTTTTCAGGCACCATGTCAAGGTTATTAAAAAAAAAAAGAAAAAATTAAAAAAAAGGGAATTTTTTTTTTATTGTTCTCTATTTTGAAACATTTTTAAAAATAAATAGAAAGGTATATGAAATAAAATAAAGAGATTGTTGATTATTTTAAATGGTTGCGCCTTCCTTGCCAAAATATTTTACACTCATTTTGTATATTTTATATATATATATATATATTTATATTATATACATATATATATATATATATAAAATAATTAATATAATTAAAATATCAAAAAACAAAAAATAAATAAAAAAAAAGACTAACTGTATATAAATAATATTTAGCTAGATATGGAAAGAATAAATAAAATTTTTGAAATATACAAACATACATAATTATAGTGAATTGTAAATATTATTTCAAAAAAACCATTTAAGAATGTTAAAAACAATTTCAATAATAAATTGTGCCTAAAAAAAAAAGTAACTAAAAATATTTAAAAATTATTTACTTAGGCTCAATTTGCACCGACCACTTTTTACTTGAAAAATTTGCAAAATTTCTGTTGCACAAAACACTAATGAAACTGTAGCAATAAAAAAAAGGTATTTTTTTTGTTTTAAAAGTTGGAAAATAAAGGCAAAATTTAAAGTGATTGGTGCAATAAGATCCTTGTATATTTTTACGTAACTTTGCAATATTCAATTTGCTAATAATTTTTTGTTAAAAAAATAAAAATTAATATTTTGTAGTCATATAAAATAAAAAATTTCAATTTAAATATTATTTTGTAATTAAATTTTAATGAAATTTTTATTGAATATCATTTTATAATGTACGTAATTTTATTCTTTCTTAATATTAGATACTATGATTAAATCTTTTGAATCCTGCCTGAAATATTAATTTTGAACCATAAATATTTTAGGTTTGTACTTAATTATTAATTCGTTCAATTTAATGATATTTATTACAATTTTTAATAAAATTTAATTTGAGTTTTTTGAATTGGTTAGAGTGTGTTTCTTTTCAATAATTCTTTATTTCTAATTCAGCACAAATTCATCAAGATAATCAATATTTAATTGTTAAAGTACAAAATTTTCAAAGAATCTCACTCATTGAAGCCAATTCTTTTAATTTTAATTAAAGAATTGAAAAAACTATTTAATATTTTAGCTTCTGTTCGGGATTTACATATTTGTTTTTAAAATAAATTATGTAATACTAAAGCAGAGAGAATATGCAAAATGTTTAGTGTAATTTATCAATTTATGAAATTACGAAAATAAAATGAAAATTGTCGTGAAATTCTTTTAATATCTATGTTAATATAATGATAATTATTAAACAACTAGTTTATTTGTTTGTGACAAAATCTTTTAATAAATGTAGGTATTACTATTGCAGTAGTGTATTTTTAATTTAAATAATTCCCAATTTTTTTTATTTATCATAAATTTGTTTTAGATATTTCCATATTGTAGCATACCTTTTGGGGATTTTCAAATATTTCGTATTGACTTAAAGATCATGTTCGATAACGAAATTAAAAACTTTCGGTAAATCTTTATTACAAAAAAAGCACGTTCGAAGCATGCTTAAAAGTTCTAGAGCAATTTTAAAGACTTTTTTTTTGTAATGTTCCAAAAGTATTTTAAATTTGAAAAAATATCACATATAAAGGTAGTAAAAATCTTGAAAAAGTAAACTAGTTAGTTCTGGTAGATCTGTAATAATTTAAAAAAATTTTTTAACATTTAAATTAGAACTATAGAAGTGCATATATCCAAATTATTGAAAATCTCCTTTTATTATATTCTCTGTGTACTAGTATTTTTCCATGTTGTTTTCTTTACTATGAAATTCACTTTCGGAAACATATGGAATCTTGTATGTGGATGCTAAGTTTCATGAAATCATGTAGAAAGCATTTGATTTAAATTGTTTTTAATTTAAATAAAAAAATTAATTACGCGTACATTAGTATAATATTATAATAAAAATTTTATTGTTATTAATAAATTACTAAAAATATTTAAACGCACATTTTCAAAATATTTTATAATATTATTATTATTTTTAAATTATTTTACAAGAAATAAAATTTCAAAAAAATTTTCTTCTAATGAACGCTAATTTAAAAATTTTTAATTTAAACATTTAAAAAATAATGGTTCCTTCTATTATTTTGTAAGAAAAAAATATTTTGATATGATGAAGAAGAAATTCTAAACAATATAGAAATTTATACATAATATACATACATTTAACATGAAAAGAAAAAAATATGAAATGAAATGTATAAAATTAAAAATAAATAAGTATACAATACAATAACTATTATAAATGATTAGGCACAACACATAAATTAAAATAATTAGAATAAAATTGAAAAATTTCCTAAGCAACTCTATTATAACAAAAACAAAAGCTCCTTTAACAAGAAAAAAAAATTAAAAAAAAAAAAACTTAAGTCTGATTTATTAAATATCAAAAAAAAATGTTTATTTTACTTAAAATAAATTTTAAATATTTAGTAATTACATAATTATTATTTATAAAATATTTTTTTTATAAATTAAAATATTTCTTCTATTTATCTAAACACCTTTTTTTTTTTAAATAAAATAGTTAAAGGTTCATTATTTTTATTAACAAGTTGTTTTTGCCTTAAAAATAAAAATAAAATAAGCATTCACTCATATTTTCCTAGACGTATCTGAATTATCATGACTTCGAATGTTTTGTTGATTTCCGAAAATAGAATTATTTTTGAAATATGTAATTCTCTAATGAAAATTCGAATATTTTTCAATTATGAAAGTCGATTCAGAATCGAATTTTGCCCTTAAATTTAAATTGAAGCTGATAGTGAGCCTATTTATACGTGTATTGATTAAGCATATGCACAGCATTTGATTTGTGCTTCACAAACCTACTCTCTTGCAAATAAATTTATAATATTATTAATTAATCGATTAATTTTTCATTTTGTTTTTAAATTTATTTGGAAAATTAATTTAAAAACTAGACCCTTAAATCGTTTTACATAATTAACATGACTTTTCTTGAATCGACGAATCGATTTAAATGTATTCGACTTCCATAATATTGAGGTCATTTGGGTGATTGTTTTTATTTTCTTTTTAAAAATTTGATTAATATGATTTGTTTTTTTTTTTAAATAAATTATTAAATGCAGATTAAATTTCATTTTGTATTTATTAATTTTCTTATTTTTTTTAATTTGATTAATCAATCGGTAAATTTAAAAGTGAGCTACATTTTATTCTGTTGCAGAAAATAAAATTAAGCAGAATTTAAAGTACAAAAACAAAAAATATATTTATTAGTTTAATAATAATTAATACTTCTTATAGCAAAATGTATTTTAAAATTAAATAAAAAAAAAATATATAGAAAATTAAGATTATTTAAAGAACAAAGAGAAAAAATTTTAGTTTTTTAAACTTACATACATAAAATGTAGCCATTTTTTTTTTAATATTAATTATTTTTAATAGAATTTATCATTATTTCAGAACAACTAATAAAAAATTAATCTGCATTTTTAAATATTTATTTTTCAACAACCCCACTCTTATTACTCTTAAACGCATCACTTCACCACTTGAGCTTAATAGTAGACGTTTTCATAAACGCAATATGTCGCGATAATTTGCTCATAAATATGGTTAATTTTTCGCAATAAACATTTTGCAAATTAATAATCACAAGTTAATTCATATTTACTCTTATAATTCTATAGAATAATTAAAAACATATTGCATATTCCATCCGGTTTGTTTTTGCAATATTGCGTTTCCTAGTTATTGTATTTGCAGTATTGCGTTTATGATGCATTTTGCAGCCAACTCAAGTGATGCATTTAACAAATATATTTGAGTCAATATCAACTAAAATTATTTTTTTTTTGAGAGTTTTTAAGAGTTTGAAAATAATTTAATGAGGAATATTCAAGAAATTAAAATTCACTTTTAAGAAATAAAATATTGTATTATAAAAATTCAATAGAACTAAAAAACAAATGTATTATAAAAAAAAAATATGTATTCAATATTTTTCTCTTTAACAAAATTTATATTGCATACATACAAAGAGTTTCTCTCTTTGAAAAAAAGAACCTATGAATTAAAAAAAATTAATTCCAGAAAAAAAAAATGCACTTTATGAAAATTTTTTTAAATTTTTAAATTTCAATTTTTTTAAATTATAATTTGCAAATAATATTTAATTATTTAATAAATAAAATATTTTAAAAAAATTTTTTTTAAAACTTAATTCCTTCTGAAAAAAAAATTATACATAATATAAGGCGGTGATCGTGTTTCTCGCTATTGTATTCGTCAAGCGAAAAGAAAGTGAGTGACTATTGCATATTTGTGTAATCAGTAATTTCGAGTGAGAAGAAATTATTCCGTATTGGATATTTCATTTTTTCTAAAATGTATACAAAATTTAGTCACAATTTAATACATTTTATTTTTAAAGGTGACATTGACAAATTTAATCGATAAATTGACAAGATCAAATTCAAATTTGAATAAAAGAATAATCTTATTGTAAAAATGACATATCGATTAGAAAAAATGAGTTTCTGATTTGGAAGTGAATAAAAAGTGAGGATTCAAAACCAAATTACACGATTAGCCCATAAAATTTATTTGTTAATGAATATTTTATGTAAAATCAATAGTTAAAATTTTAATTTTAATGTTATGTTATTAAAAATAACAAAAAACAAAAAAGCAAAGAACTATGTAACTCGAAATTTCTTTTTTTTTTTAGTGATGTAATAATATAATTAATTATTCTTATTTTTTATGATTAATATTAGGAAAAAAGAAAAATGTTAAAACGTTTTTTTTCTTCTTAAATTTCTTAATTTTTTTTTGTCATTTTTACTTTTAATTTTTTTTATAGCTTAATATTTTTTTTTGTTTACTATTTCAGTTAAAGCCAATTATAAAAACTATTATAATATATATATATAAAAAAAAAATTATACCATATTAAATAAATAAAAAATAAATCATAAAAATTATTAAAAAAAATTGTTTATTTATTTATTTATTAATTTTTTTAATTTGATTAGGCACCTACACTAAAATCGTTTTTTGTTGCATTGCTATTTTCCAAAAATATATTTAGTTGTTTTTTGAACTAGGTAGAGTGATGCTGTTGTGAATCGTTTTGGGATATTTATAAATAAATTTAAATTTTCTAATTATATTTTTGATTGGCACAAATATGGCAAAGAAAATGAAGAACATAACTTAATTTTAAATTAAAAAAATGGTGTACTTAATGACAAATCGAAGATAGTTGGGTTTTGTGTAACGGTACACAGATGATCTTTGTCAAATCAAGAGCTGCTGTCATCACTGTAACAAAAAAGTGAATAATAAACATTTGTATCATTGATTTTTTTTGTAATGACTCCGAATTTTCTTTTATATAAAATTATAATGCACAATTTTTGACAGTTCATTTGTTAATTATGACGCCAAAAATGGTTCACTGAAAAGCGATTAATAAAAATAATGATAACAGGTCTCTATATTTTTTATTTTTAATCATTTTCCAACACAATACACAATTTTCATTTTTTGTACATCACTATTCAGTGATGTTATATCCCCTTAATATTTTACTCTGGAATATAATTTTGTGTGTGCAGAAGAATGCGTGAGAATTGCTATTTCCACTAAAATAAGAAATTCTTTTTAGAAACGTCGTGTGACACAGATATGTTACACTACACAAAATTATACCACTGCTTCCAACTCTGCTCTCCCAATGAACATTTTTGTTGTATTTTAACTTTTATTTTTTAGTTGACAATTGACATAAGATGTCATTCATATTCATGACAATATGTGTATTGTGTACACAAAACAAATTTATTTAGTGTTAAATTTTATAGAAATTCAATCAAAATTTTTCGATTTAAAATAAATTTAAATGTCTAGTCCACATGATGAGCTATGTCCGCCACCCGATGATGATGAGTTGACCCTTCCAAGGGCTAGTATTAATAAAATAATTAAAGAATTGGTTCCATCTGTGCGTGTGGCAAATGAAAGTCGTGAGTTAATTCTTAACTGTTGTACGGAGTTTATCCACTTAATATCATCTGAAGCTAATGAGGTAAAATATAATTATTTCTTAAATCTTTTAACACCTGGTACTTTAAATAATTGTGCAATTTCTTTTTAAGGTATGCAATCAGAGAAACAAAAAGACAATAAATGCAGAACATGTTTTAGAAGCTTTGGATAGATTAGGCTTTCGTGACTATAAAACAGAAGCGGAAGCGGTTTTAAATGACTGTAAAGAAGTAGCTGCAAAACGTCGAAGACAGAGTACTAGGTTGGAACACCTAGGAATACCTGAAGAAGAATTGCTAAGACAACAGCAAGAATTATTTGCTAAAGCTCGAGAAGAACAACAAGCAGCTGATATGGCACAATGGTCATCAATACAAGCTGCAACAGTCCAACAAAGTGCCGAAATGATACAAAAGCAACTCGCTTTACAAAATGAGGATAGTGATGAAGATGAATATTAAAAAGAATACTATAGGTTATATTTGTTTTAATAAAATACATATAGGTACTCAAAAATATTTTAAACAGCTAAAGCATCATTTTGTGATTCATGACTCAGTTGAGTTTGCAAATTAGACAGTTTATTTTTTAAAACTTGTACTCCCATAATAACAATGTTCTCTGGCTTTAATGATCCACATGATTCCACATTGAAAAAGAATTTGTTAGGTTTGGCTTCCCAATTATACGGAGCTTCAACTGCAATAAAATAAAAAAATTATCCAAATAATTTTTATACTCATAATTTCTACTTTACATTGATCATCATCCAATTCAGTATGCTCGCTTTTTGGCCATTCATCCGGTTTAGGATACAAAGTGTGACGCATACTGTTGTCAGGATCATATTCAAAACAGACACCAGCTGTAGGGTTCCATTTTGCGTGTTCTTTACCAAATCCTTTTTTTGCATAAGCCCGCAATTTTAATTCTTGTCCTTTACGTAATTTAATTATTAAAATTTCATCTGTACTTTCACCATATTCGTTATCTTCGTCATTATTATGTCTTGAAGTAACTGGAACTACTTTAGGATTGGAAGACTTTAAATCAGCAGTTGTAACATGTCTAGTCTGCTCGTCGGTACATTTCACATCAAGAGTAAACTCAACACTACATTCTGGACAAAAATCTAAACATATGCAATCGCGTGTATATTGTAGTCTTTCTACAAAGTCATCAGAAATTAGTGGAATTAATCCAATACGGTGAGCCAAAAACTCATCTGATAAAACAGTAGAATTTGATTCCAATTGAACCCAATCAATAGCTAATGTTGGGGTTTCAGCAATAAAAACCCGACGTAAACTGTTAGCAACGCTGCATATAATAATTTGTTTAAGTTAATGCTTTTTAAATTTTTTTTTAGTTTACCTTAAATCAGTATCTTCTACAATGAACTTGACATTATCGTCTGTTAATTCAGTAATTTGAACTGAGGGTTGATTAGCAAAAGGCATATTTACTTCCTATAATTAATTGTGAAAATAATTTTTTAATTAAATCTAAAATCTGAATGTTATTTGTTTGGTATTGCAAACAAAACCGCAAAAATGCTATCACAGCTGTCAGTTATGTGTCAACATTCACAATTTCACATACATTGAATTCAAAATTTTTGATGTATCAGCACAAATTAAGCCGCAACAAGAATTGAAATCGGATTAATTGTCAACTATATTATCATGAATATAACTAAGACTAGTTTTTTTTACTTATCTAACAAAAAAGAAAGAAAAGAAAATTATTATATAAAAAAATTTACTTGGAAAAACAATTTTGAGGTCTAACCAGAATGATATGAAATAATCTTATTTCTCTATCTTCTCTATTAAATCTTATTTTGAAGTATGATCAGATATGAAAATATGAAAGTATAATAGTACATTTATTTTGTTTTTCATTTAATATTTGAAAATATTTTGTCTTTTTTGGGAACAAATTTGGATTTGTTGGTTTAGAATACTGAATATACATAGATGATTAGGGATACATATAATCAGATAATTGTAGTGTTAACCGCTCTATATAATGTCATAATCTATATGTTAAGTGATTACTTTCCCGAAAAATTTCTATTAGTATTTCTAAAAGCAATATGTCAAAATAAAAAAAGGATTATAGATTCTAGTTTAAGAAAAAATATCTGTACATGAAAAAAATATATCTGTACAGGATGTGTCAAAAATTTACACAATTATTTTGATGTTAGTGTAATTTGCATAGACATTACTAATACCGCTAAAAACGCTACCTAGGTCACAAAAGGGTTAAACTGGGTTATTTTTTCAAGTTTCAACCCTACTATGAATCGAGATTGTTCTATGAGTTTACTTCCGTTTCCCGTTCGAAAGAGTTTTCCTTTTCACCATGGTTGGTTGAAGTGCGTGGTTGTATTTTAATAATTTAATTTTCAATTTTTAATTTTTGAAATTTTTAAATTGAATTCGGTCCGGATAATTTTACTTTAAAGGTAAGAAATTTATAAATATAATATTGTAATTGTACTAAATATTGAAAATAGTGTTTTTCTGTAAAGTTAGTGGACTATTTTATCCAGAATTAATTATTCTCGTGTACATATATACATACTTATGTATGTTCCAATCCAAACGAGCTTTGTAGGCAAAATAAAAATGGCAGACACTCATTTTCAATTTTAAATATGTATTTTTTTTAATTTATGATGATATAAAATCATAAAAAATACTGATTACGGATGAAAAAAGAACGGCCAACTGAAAATATACATATTCATACTTACATTATAAAAAATTTTTAGTAAGTTTTTTTAATTGTAAATTAAAATATTTCAGATAACAAGAAATTATGGAATTATAAAGATGTAGTGGAAGTAGTGCACTTGAATTTTGATTTGGTGAGTAAAAATTTTGAAATATTGGAAAAAATTTGAATTAGGAAATAAAATTACCACATGAAAAATTAAAGAATTTAAAAATCAATAATGACTGTAAAACTAAATATAAAAATGGCAGGTGTGTACATAAGCATGTATTTACGTATGTGTATGGATATTGCTTGAAGTCGGAAGTATTTTATTTCCCACGTATTTTATATTTTTATATACATACCTGGCTAGTACATCATACAGATGTTATACATATATAATTAGTGTTGCCAGAAAAAAAAATTTGAGCGATTCGATTTTTAGTTTATTAGTTATTAGCGGAATTGACCCATAAATTCAGTGAGGGCTCCGGCAGACTTGAACGCATTTGCGCGCAACAATTCTACAATCAAATTGCACACTAAAAATTACATGTCTGTCAGAGCCCCAAAGTTACTCAGTAAATTTTGTACAAACAGGATACAAATACTTATTACGTTCTTTGAAACCTTTGTATGGTAAAAACCCTTCGACTTCCCATAGAACATGTTTATTTAGATAGGTTAGGTACACTAGCTGTATTAAGATAGGTTATGTACATATATGAACTATCCAATGAATGATGAAAAATTTCAATCTGCAAGTTAATTGATGATTACAATTCAATTAAACCAAAAGGATTCTGAACATAAACGCTAATTTATTTTAAATATTTTACTCGATGTCAAATAATGTTTTATCTTAATTTAAATAATCATTTATTTTAATGTTTTGTTTCGTGCAGGTTAACATGTAAGATGTGCTCTAATCAGAAAAAAAATTCCTATAACAAAATTGTTACTAAAGTGCAAATACTAAAGTAATTCCGGAATCATCATTGATCATATTGAATAAAGTAAGTAGCTACCTAGTTGATTTTTTTTTTTCTATCTTCAATATAAAAATTTTAAACTGATGATATTACTACGGTATAGTTCATTTGAAATAAAAAATGAAAACATTTCAATTAGTTCTGATAAAATTATAAAGGAGAAACTATGTATAATTCAATTTTCACACTTCTAAATGTTTTGATTGATTTTCGAACTTTTCTCATCTATATTTTTATTTGTTTTTGCAGATAAAATCATGAATTTTGATTTCCCATATTTAAAATATTTTGACCTGGGGGGTGAGCTCCCTACCAGGCGGGTCTGCGGGTGGTGGATTGCAGAATGACTACATTACAAAGTGGATAATGTAGTTAGTGCACAGAATTGCACCCCGAACCAGCTCAAAATTACCTTATACCTTAACAGGTTAAGGTATTTGTGCCATTGTGTTCTGACACAATGAAAAATGTATTTTTATCACAGAAGAATACTAGAACTTCTGATGAGTTTTTTTTAAATATTTAAAAGAAGATGAATAAATAAAAGGAACAAAGTTGTAACGATATACTTGGAAATACATGGATTCTATTAAAAAATTCATGGTAAAAAAAAAGAAGAATGGTCTATGGTGACCAAAAACGTTGAACAAAAGAAAACCTATTTGGAGATATGAAAATTCATTCGATGGGAATAGAATGCGAAGTAACCAAAAAGGTATTTTAATAATGATGGATTTCATAATGGAAGCTTGTCATATATTAGCAGTGGCGGACCTTTATATGTAAGGATCATGGCCTTTGAAAATTAAAGTCATATGACAACAGAAGTGATACCAACAGAGAAACCTCAAGGAGCATTAGTCAACTTGGGGTTTATTAACCCAATTAAAAAAAACCAAGAAAGTTGGAAAATGGGTAATATGAATGCTGCAGCAATGTGTATTAATTCAAAAAGATTTTTAAAAATGACAGCGGCAAAGAATTAGGAATGCCTTATTTTTTGAAAAGAAATTTGTAAAAGTCCTCCAACAAAAAGTAATGTTGCTGCATGTACAATGAAAATGTTTTAAATAGGAAAAATCGCCTATTTAAATGTTAAATCGAATATTTTGGGAAATAAGTTAGAGTTAGAATTCGAATTCTAATTTATAAAGAATAACTGAAAATCATGGATTTAACCAAAATGCCATATTCGAAATCATTTAGCCTCTTCCAATATAAGGACATAAAAAACTAAGTAAGTTTATACTTTTTGTTTTTTTTTTTTTCTTAATAAACATTCCCATGATGATAAAAATGCCTTTTCAGGCTCCCTCATCTGATAGAACCCAATCTTTAATTCTTGATGAGCACTTCGCGTCTGATATATTTATTTTCCCTTTATTAAAATAACCTAAGATATTCAAGCACTAATGTTTATTTATTTTTTTTTTAGTTTCAGGTGGAACAAAATCATGTTATTTTTTGAATGTAATTTTATTTTCTTTTAATTGGAACTTATATGAAAACATGGAGGACTTATTTTGTAACGAAGTTCATTTTTATGTCCCTTGATAGTTTTGTGATCATGAATCATTTGTACAACAGATTTATAAGGAAATTGTTACTATAATCCAAAAGCAATTTTGTCACGAATTGTAATATTAAAGGAAGAGGTCTATAAGAAGACTAGTTTAAATGGCAATCGAAAGGCTTACAACAAACTAGTCTAACCTCAAAAAGGTTTAGTGAAAAAAAAAACGGCCAACGATTTGCATCCCTCAAGGGGAAATCGCACTCCATATATATGCAGTTTAGGAAATTTTCTCAAATAAAATATATTATGTGAGACGACACACCATATACATATAATATTTGGGGAATTATATTCTCAATTTAGTTGACAATTATATTGACAATTTAGTTGGGAGATTTATGGATTCCCCATTTACTTTGTAACATGGGAGAATTTTGATTCCCCATTCACATGTAATTGAGTAGTCCTCAATTACATGTAATATGGGGGAATATACGCCCCCATATTTACGATGGGCGATACCGCATAAATAAAAATATTAACAAAAAATCCTTGTCCATTAAAGTTGAAAAATTATTTAATGGCCAAACCAAAAAAAATAATAAAAAATCAATGTAAAATGTAAATTAGTTTTTCATTACAATTTCAATTTTCAGCAATATAAAAATTTTCAAATTCTTATTTTGGTGTTATCGGACAAAGAATGGATTAGGTTTGGGAAAAGATTAGAGTAATAGGTTGATTAAAAAACTTTAATTGGATGGATCAATAAAGAAGTAAAATACAAATTGTATCTAATATAAAAATCGAATTTTATTTTAATTCCCCACACGAATATATCACAATTTTTTGAGTTGGGGTTCCACTTTTACTTCCGCATTTTTCTATTTTCCTGACAACTTCACTTCCGCTAATTACATGACCAAAAACAACATGTTTACCATCAAGCCAGTCTGTTCTGTAATAATTGCAAAAAAAAATAATTTAATTTTAGAACAACAGGGGGTTGGGAATTATGAGTGAACGTGTTTTGTTAACATTGGTTCAAGTTAACACATTACATGGCCAGAAAAAATAAAAGTACAATGTAATGAGAAAAATTAATGTGACGTCATCAGCTACACATACTTAAGATACTTACTTAGTAGTACATATAAAAAATTGTGACCCGTTTGTATTTGGTCCAGAATTAGCCATCGATAAGGTACCAAAACCGGTATGCTTTAAGGAAAAATTTTCATCTTGAAACTTTTTACCATAAATTGATTTTCCACCAGTGCCGTTATTATTTGTAAAATCTCCACCCTGGCACATCTGTAAATTATATAAAACATTGCATATTAACGTATGTAAATAAATTACATATGTACTTATTTTAAAAAATACTTACAAATTCAGGTATGACACGATGCAATGTTGACCCTTTGTAGCCAAATCCTAATTCATGTGTACAAAGAGCTCTAAAATTTTCGGCAGTTTTAGGCACTATGTCCGCTCTTAAAATCATAACAATTCGGCCAGCATCATGACCACCAATTCTAATATCGAAAAATACTTGTGGATTTCGTTTTTCTGATTTTGATATTGTAACAACACTTTTTGTGCCTTCTGAATTCTAAACAAAAAAACAAATTTTATAATATTTAATTTAACAATTAATTGATTATAAAATTTTACGCTATTTCCATTTTGTGCTTCCTCATCCTCTTGTTCATCATCATTGTCTAATGTAGCGCCAGCATGTTTTTGAAGCCAATCATCATCAGCCCAAACTGCTTTAAAACTACCTTCTTTAACGCGAACTGGTTTTGCAAGATTTACTCTAATTGTTCGACCACAAAGCTCAGAGTCGTTCTAAAAACCCAAAAAAAAAAACAAAATTATTCATAGTTCAACGTGGATTGAAAACTTATGTTTTTTCTGACCATATTATCAATAGCAGCCGCTGCATCTTCAGCAGATTCATATTCTACAAAAGCAAAACCACGATGTTTCTGTGATTCGTAGTCTACAGGAACTGAAATTTTTTATAAATAATTGTCAAAAATGTATGTACAAACTATAAGTTTTAAAAAATTTGACTTTACCTTGTATATCTGCAATATCGCCAAAAGGAATGAAAGCATCATTAATAAGCTTTTCTGTGACTTCATCGGCCAGACCACCAACATAAATAGTTCTCTTATCATTCGACATTTCTTCAGCAATTCAGTTTGCAACGATGTTTAAAAAAGCAGGAAAGTATTGATTTCGAAAATTTTTTGAACGATTATATTCAAGTATTTAAAATAATTATTTTAATTTTGATTTTTACCAACTTCAGTAAATTATTTTTTAAAATAAACAAACAAACAACGAATTGAAAAGTGACGTTTTAAAATTTACTCCAGTGTCACACTATTACTTTAATGAGGCTAAAAAAAATTCTATATTTAAGTTAGTCATGTTGACATTTAATTTGCATATAATTTCCCATCTTTCATTTCAAATTCTATATTTGTTCTTTGAATTCGAAAGTAATGAGTAATTTGATTTTGATTTTAGCCCATTTGCATCATCGCTAGCAGAGAGGTTATGAAATATTGACAAAGAACTTCGTTAATACTTTTAGATGCTGTTTCAATGTGCGGCAAATTTTCATGAGACCATGCACTATTCAGCTTGGTCCTTCAGTTCGTTGAAAAACATGTTGATGAAGAACAAAATTAATATGTTGAAAAAATTAACTTGTTTGCCAGGATGATTAATGAATGGGCAGCATGAAATTCAGTGCACGACAAATTCTAATAATTCTTTATATAAGACACAAAACTTGTGTTTTTTTAAAAATTCATACAAAAATTATTAAAAAAATTATAACCAAAATAAAATCAGTCTTAAATCTTATAATAACAGAGCAATTTCTATTATGTATGTGCTGTCAGACAAAGTCTGATGTTAAATAATGTTTACATATGCGACTTTCATTAAACTCAGATTAAATCGCTGATTTTGTCGTATATACTCGTATAAGCAACAAAATAATTTTAATTAATAAATATTAAATATCGATTTTATTTTATATCGATACAAAAACATAATTCAATTACCATCGTTAGTGGAATGTCGGTCTGTAAAACAAAACGTCTTCTTGCGATTTTAAGTGCAGTAAATTTTAGAAAAATTAATAAAAAAAATTTGAAATTGAATTAAAAAATAATTAATCAAAGGAAATGTAGAATAATATATTCTTCTTATATCTTGGAAACCATAAAATTGATTTCATTAGTAATACATGTGTAAAATCCTTATTAAAAGTATTGCGAATTTCCCAATATCTATTTCAAAACTGCTTCAGTATTGATTTTTTTGCAGAGTATCAGAAGGATATTTTTCACATTAAGTACATATTAAAAATTTATTAGCACAACATAATGGCCTTACCAACTGCAGCTTTTTTAAAACAACCATCACCTCTGGCACAATTATTAGAAGAAATTAATTTTCAAAGAACAAAAGAAATGCGGCAGCTTATGAAAGACGGTAAGATTTTAAAATTTATGTACTTATGCATGTAGGTATGTAAGTGTTTTAATATTTTCAAAATACGATTAGCTATTCCGACCATGGGAAAATGTGCCCCATTTGAAACATGTTTGACTGTGTTTCTTATAAAAGTTTGATTCTTTTGCTTGAGTCCATTGAATTTTGAATGATATTTGTTAGGTAGTTAGACCCACCTACCTATTACGCATAATAGGTAGGTATATACCTACCTAATCTATGCACCTACCTATTTCCCTGTGCGAATATCTATCTATTGTACACATTGACGCAATTGAATTTTTTAAGTACCTACGTTCCTACCTAATTATTTTGTTAAATACAAAAAAAAATATTTAATATTTCTTTATTTTTAGATAGTGGATTTGTGGTATTGCAAGGAACAACTTATTGGACAGATTTATTTGTGAGACATTTTTTGTTTCAAACGGAGCCGGTTCATAATATGGATTCCGATGATTTATTGTTTTTCGTTAGGAAAAAACATGTAAAAGGTACTTCCAGACATATGCCGAAATTTGAGGTAATTAATAAAATCTTCGTAGAAATATTAATTTTAAAGCTTGTGAATTTTTAGACTGAAGTAGATGTATATCGTAAAGATTCTCGTAAACTGCCAATTGGAGATCCAGATGTTGATTGGGAAGAAACTGTTTATTTAAATATGGTAATACATCAGTTTAATTATACATTGACATTAGCTATATGCACAAGAACATCACCAAAAGAATTACAAGTATTAAGACGACATTCGCAACGAGTTTATGCTAGTCCAAGTAGAAGGAAAATGGATACAAAAGGAGAAAATGAGGAAATGACATATCCACACATATGTTTTATGGTTGACAATTTCGATGAAGTATTTAGTGATATATTAGTAAGGGATGGTGAAATGGTATGTGTAGAATTAGTGGCCAGTGATAAAGATGGAGCAGTACAAGGAGTTATATTTCTTGGTTCAATAAGATATGATGCACTTAAAAAAGTTTATGATGCAAGGGTAAGTGTAAAAATTTGTCACACTTTACAATTAATTTACGGTTTTTTTACCAATTTTAATTTTAGCAATCTAGTCTTAGTTCCAAAGTGGCGCAACGAATGACTTTTGGATTATTTAGTAGCGGAGCTGGAGTTCAAACTAGATGTGAATTTGTTCGAATGAAAGGACCACAGGGTAAAGGTCACGCGGAAATGGCTGTTACAAAACCGAAAGGTTCTGGTGTTGAAACTCCGACTAGCGAACCAGGGTAATGGAAAAATATTTATTTATTTAATTATTCCTCAAAAACTGTAAATTTTAAAATTTTAGTTTTTGTGCTACAGAAATGTGGGATGAATGGGAAGAAGATCCTGATGAATATTTTACAAGACACCAACGTCGTCTTAGTGATCCATCCGCAAACCTAAATAATTTTAGTCGTTATGGATGGAAGTATGCTAAAAATATGGAACAAAATACTGGCTCTAAAGCACGTTCTGAAAATGAAGGATTGGACTCAATAGCTAATGAAGTTTCTGAGATTGAAGCAGGAGACTTAAGAGATGGTATGATTCACACAATATTTTCTATCACTTTTTATTTACACATAATTTTTGTAATACTAGTTTTAAACTTAATAATGCGGTAATAGAGATTTTCAAAAATTTATTTAATTTCTAGTTTTCGTGATGTAGATCAATTATACTTTATTTGTTTTTTCGTTTTTAAGTTTCCATTAAAGGGAAAAAATTTTACCATATTTAAATAAATTTGAAACTCATATATCGCATTATTTATTTTTTTTATCTACTTATATATAAAATAAAAAAAAAAACTAAACACGTATTTTAAATTTAAACACATTGAATTTTTAACTTCTATTTCATACTTTTCTGCATGTTTCCTGCCTGTTAACACTTTTGCAAATTCCTATCACAATCGATTTTAATTTTTATAGCTTGCATTAATTTTTTAATTTCACTTTTTTGCCTTGTTTTATCTAAAGAAAAATTATAAAATTTATAGTTATTTCTAAACTAAAAAGAAAAAAAAAGTACAGACATTGAAAATTGCGGGGAAGCAGGACAAAAAAGTATTTAAAAACAAAGATTTCATTCAAAATATTGTAAGAAACAAAAAAACAAAAACAAAACGAAAACAATTGCATAATTTGTTGTTTATAATGTAAATTTGTATATTATTTTTTGTTTTAATTTATTTTAATTATTTTTACTTATAATACAAAGACATATCCAACTTTATTTTATTAAAAATTCATATCCAACTTTAATTTTTTTCCCCCTTTCCAAAGCTGTGTGATTCAAAATAGTTTTCCAAAATATTTAATTTTGTAATTAGCTATAATTATTAAAAATTTATTTCAATATAATTTAATTATTATTAATTTAATTTTAAGATATTGCTTTTGTATTATAATAAATTTATAGGTTATTCTGATGTAATATCAGATATTTTTTTTTAATATTGATATCCATTCAGACTGCTCGAAGAATTTATCTTCAATGATCACTAAAACTTTATAATATCTTATAATAACAAATATGTAAAAATAAAAATTAGCTTATTTTCCAAATATCTAACTCTAAATACATAATTTAGGTTTAGAATAATTGAAGAATTAAATTTTTTGTATTATAAATTAAAAAATAGTATTTAGTATAGTCGAAATTTGTTTATTTTCATTGATTTAATTTGATTATATAATCTTTTGAATGAGAAACAAATTAGATAAGGCTATGATAGATTTTAGAAATTCTTCTTAGATATTTAAAATATGATTATGAATAATTTTTTTTCATGAATTTACGAAACTTTTAATAAATGTATTTATTGTGTATAATAAAAATGTAGTGTTAAAGAAAACTATTTTCAAATATTCTAACTAAAACCAATTTCAATTTAAAGTATTTATATTTAAGGCTCTAAGTATGACTGTTTTTGTTGTTCTTTCAAATATTTATGCATAAATGCATACAAAATTATGAGATATTTATGATTATGAATAAATTATAAGCATACAAATTTAATTAAATTGAAGAAAAAGTCTTATTCAAACTTAGTGTAGTAAACTTTAAAATACAGAAGGAAAATTTGACTTTTTTCATCCCTGGTTGATTCCTTTTTACAATAATTATCTAAATTACATTTTCTTTAATCAATTATTTCGATTATGGAATCTTACTTTACTATTTAAGGAAACGTTTAAACCAATGTTGAACCTTTAAATCAACATCATTCTTTATAGACATACTTATATTAAATCTGGATAACACTATAAAACATGCACTATGAACATCTACTCTTAATAAAATATTACAACGAAAACCAAATATACGTTTGTAATCGTCACTATTAGAAACAGTCCTATATTTTTATTTTTATATGTATTTCAAAAAATGAAACGAAATCTAATAAAAAAAAAAATGTGAAATTAATAAAAAAAAGTTTTGCTCACATAAAATTTTTATATTTGTTGATCTAATTCTTTTAGATCGAGGTCCTGCTTCCTCAGCATCACAACAGACGAATAAACTAACAGAAAATGTTAACGAAAATGAAAAACAAATAAATGAGACGAAATGTAATATTCTTTTGAATCAAACATGTTCTAGTGACATCAAAATCACTTCAAATAATACCATAAATAAATCTGTAGCAACAGCTACAAGTACTAATATTAAAGATAATATTAATGTTGAGAACGTTACAGAATCAAATAGCAATTCGGCATCGTCTGCTACAGCTGTTACAGCTTCTAATATCAAAAATTTTATTATAACCAGTAAAAATGATACTAACGATAATAATGACCAAAATATCGAAAATATTGAACTTCAACAAATTTCTGCATCTAAAACAATAATACCAGCAAAGGAAATGGAAGATGCAATTATTAAATCACCACCATCATCTGGATATTGTTGTACTAATTGTTTTAGTCCTAGCAAATGTAAACGTTGGTCAGATACAGATTCAGCTCAAATGTCGGAAATTTACTGTCGTTCAACGCTATCAGCTGATGATGGAATTGGTGTTGCTAATGAAACTCCTGCTTGTTTAGAAAAATTTCCAGTAAAAAGATCTCGACAAATTATTAATACTGCCAGTAATAAAAATAAAGAAATATCAACAGTAAAACTCGCAAGCACTGATTTATCTAGAAAAAGAGCAACACTAAGAACATCATCATTACCTCGAAGTAAATCATTAGCTGCTACAGGATTATCAACAACCATAATATCAACTCCAAAAAAAGATAATATTACAAGAAAAGTAATTTTCACAAGTAGTTTGAAAAAAGACTCGAAATTAGAGAAAAGTAATGGTCATAAATTGGCGTCATTAACTTCAAATAAAAAGAAGAATATTCCTGTTTCTGCAAACAGTATAGGTAATAATGGAAAAAAAATTAACTCAAGCAAACTAAACAATAAAACCGTTAATAACTCAAGTAAATTAATTTCTAATAAAAATTGTAAAAATCCAATTATTAAAGAACCAGCTCAAACGAAAAAAAGTTCAAATAAATTTGAAGAATACGAAATAGGTGATGACGTTACATCATTAAATGAAGAACAAATTATTGCAACAAATATCGAAGAAAATGAGAAAGTAAAAATTTGCGTTTTAAATGAAAACGATTCAGAGCGTATTCGTGTTCATGGTAAAGAAGAATTGCCAGTTGTTCAAACGGCATCCACTACATCTAAAATAAAGAATTCATCGAAAGAGGAAGATAATAAAAATTCATTAAAATCAAGAACCACAATAAAAGTAACAGATAATTATATTTTAGAATCAACAATTAATAGTAATATTGAAAAATGTGTGCCTATTGAAACCAAATGCCATCCATTAGAACCCGAAATAATAATTGGGAAAACCTCAAACACAATATCTAGTGAAACAAATTTTGATGTATCAGTTAATAAAGCTCAAATTAATGAAAATTATTGTCAGAATCAGAATGAAGAATCATCATCACAAGTTGAATTGAAAATTGAAAATGATGAAGATGAAAGTGATAAAAGTATAACAGAAACTACAAAACTATTAGGTGATTATAATGGCAATAAAAATATAAATAACTGCAATAATAGTCAAAATAATAGCAATACAAATAATAATAATAATAATAATGATAATAACAATGATAATAATAAAATAAAAGACAGTAATGATAATACAACATTAACAAAAACTTTATCATCAAATAATAATGATTTGGAAACTTTAGAATTATGTAATAAAGAAAATGATTTAAGCAATACTAGCAATAATAATTTGCATAGAACTAGATCTTTACCAGGTATTAAATGCACATTTATGCGTAACAGATCATTATCAAATTCAGAAAGACATCAAAATTTACAAGAAAAATTATTAAAAATTGTGCCGAAACATGTAACACCCGATGGAACGAGTATATACTATTGGTGTGATTTGACTCAAACGAAAAAAATTTCAAAAGGTTCCAACACTTTTTTTTATAATTAATTTTCTTATATATAATTAAAATATTTGTTATTTCTATAATTTATTTAAAGAAAAAAAAATTAAAACAGATCTAATTGTTGTATTCATATTTTTTCTTAAAAGATCAAACAAAAAGCAAACAAAAATATAGAATGCTTAATTGATTAAAATTTTGTTTTTATTTTTATTTACAGAATTAGATGACGGGGCATATAATCCGTTATGGGCTAGTAAAGGATTTACACAACAATTTCATTTCTGGAAAGAAAGTCGTCGTCAGCAGTCCACACCGTTAAATGCGTTTCTTACTTATGTAACATTACCTTGGTGGAGTATAGCAAAAGGTATGAGAAGTTTTTAATTTATTTTATTGAATTTTTTTTTTATAGAATTACAAAATTTTTTTCCTAATATTCGAAAGAATACCGAAATATTTGAACAATTTTATTGTAAAATTTTTCTTATATCTTCGAATGATTCTTTCATTTTTTCTTGATACGAATTAATTGAACTTTCAAACCTCTCCATAATTGTATTATAGTCTTGTTGTAATTCATCTGAAGCGTTACTAACGCTTGCAATACAATTCATGCCAGCTTGAACAAGATCGTATGCTTCAGATACTAATTAAAGATTTAAATAATTTAATAAAGGATAAAAAATATTTGAGTGGTTGCAAAAAATTTTTTCCTTACATTCCTCCATTTGTTTATCCTGTGCATTTTCAACTTTCTCATTTTGTTCTAATATAATTTTTTTAAAACATTTTTCTGCGTTATTCTTATAAAAATTTTTGAGATTTTTCAATTTACAAGTATAATTTTCACACATTTTTGAAAAATCAAAAGCGCTTGAATCTGAAGATCCTGAATTCATTGAAATTCCTGAACCATTATCATTATTTTTGGAAATATCATTAATATTTTTGTTCATTTTAGTTTCCATATTAAATTCACGCTTTAAATTCACTTTAAGAGGAAGCCTTTAACTGGAAGAAATCTTAAAAAAAAATATACTTATATACAAAGTATTTTAAATTAAATTTTTTTAAACAGATTTTGTAGACGTTGCTATAACAACTATCCCTCCAGTATTCTTGTGTAAATGAAAAAGACAAACTAATCTTATAAAAAATAGAATTTTAAATGTCATGGCTTGTTTTTTCCTACTTTTAAATTTTCTTTACATAATTTTGTCTACACCTTAACCTCATTTTACAAGCATCAAACGTTCTCGAAACGTTGGTTGTAAAAAAAAAAGATTTAAATCAAAAGAAATTTCAAAAAGTAATAATAATTTATGGTTTGTATAAACAGCAGTGTATATAGAAGGAGAAGGGTATTTTTTATAAATCAATTTCTAATTTTGAGCACGTTCAAACTGCAAAATCTTCAAAAATGGCATGATCGAAAATTAGAGTTATGCTTGAAGTTCTCATATCACTAATCGTAAACTCATAGTAAATAAAAATCAATAATTTATTTAAAAAAAAAATTAATTTGTTGGAAAAGGTTATAAATCGAAAAAATTCTGTGAAACGAACAAAAATTTAAAAAAATTAATGTGAGATGTAAAAGAAAATGTAAAAGTAAATCGAGACTAAGGTGTATTTAATAATCAAAGATACAAACCACATAAAATAACGTGAAATTATTGTAAAATAATTTTATTTTCGTAGGAATTCTAGAATCTAGATAATAAATTTGTAGGAATTTTACAATCTAGAATCTAAATATTAATTTATCAGTTTATTCTAATTATAAACTTAGACTATATCTCCAATAAAATTTTTTTCCACAATATTTATTTCCATTGTATGCCATTCATTAGTGCGCGTTAGCATGGCTTCTTGAAAAAGAAATCCACGGTGACTAATCTAGTGGAAGCCACGACAGTGTTCTCAAATAATATGGAAAATGGGTATCAGACGGACGTAATTTACACAGACTTTAGCAAAGCCTTTGACATACTACCACATGAAATTATTATTTTAAAATTGAAATTCTTAGGATTCCCTGACAATTTCTTAGCCTAGATAAAGTCATATCTCTCTGGCAGGACTTACAGAATCCTCTTTCGTTCAGCAATTTCCTCGCCTCTTTCGTTTAATTCTGGTGTACCCCAGGGTAGTCACTTAGGTCCACTGTTGTTCATAATTTCAATTAATGATGTTGTTTCCATGCTAACGCACAGTGTGGTATTAATATATGCTGATGACATGAAAATTTAAAAAAAATAAGCTCTACAAAAGTTGCGTTGTATCTTCAGAATGATCTTAACCGCTTCTACGGCTGGTGATTAAGTAATAACCTAAAAATCAATGTAAGTAAATGTGCACAAATCTGCTACTCTAGGCAAAAACGGCCATTTTTTACAAACTATACTTTGAATGGCCAAGCTCTTAGTCGAGTTGATTCAATAATGGACCTGGATGTTTGCTTCGATAGCAAGTTATCATTCATAAACCACTACAATCATAGTCGTAACGTCGCGGATTTGTTATTCATTTTTCAGCTTATGAAAACTGACTTAATCTCTCTCAACATTTTAAATAAAATTGTGATTAATTCCAACCTTAGGTCTTGTTCCCCTGATCTTATAACAAACACAGACTTTTCAGCGAAGAAAGACACGATGAAAAAGCTTCTATTTACTTATAGTTAAGTATAACTCTTTTCTTTATTTTAACAAATTCTTGTTTTAGCTTTTCATTGTTTATATTCATATTTAATGGGGTATTATTACTAATAAGTTTTATTTTATATAATTTTTAAATTTAATTTTTAAGTCAAAAATTTGTTTTGTCTAAAAAATAAGTATCTGTATATGCATTCTTTAATTTTAAGTTATGTAAAATGTTTGAGGAAAACATAAATAAATAAATAAATAAATAAATAAATAAATGAATTAATTGACTTTATTTTGAATATCGAATCTTTAATTGACAATATTATTTATCGTAGAATTTACAATAAATATTGAACTTTTTATAATTAAATATCAACTATAACACTATCACTTGTGATTACTTATTGGGCTTACCCCTGAGCAAGCTCAATAATTTTTCTATTATATATTATGTATTTTAAATTAGAATTAATTAAATATTATTCCTTTTTTTTTGTTTATTTTTAGATTTATTGGATCATCGAGAAACACCCATACTAACGTTTTAGTATTTAATATTGTTTTATTTTATTATAAAAACATTTTCATTTTAAAAAAAAAAAATTTAAAATTAAAGATTGATTTAAACGATTTTCATCGCAATTTTGTTAGTTCAGTTGATTTGAACCAGAATGAAACGATCGAGATATTTATGAATTAAAGTTTTATTATTTTTAATTTTTTTTTAATTCTGTGATATTATATATTTTTGCTTAAAATATTTATGTGTATAATTTGTGTAATAACTAATTTTGTATTAATAGAATCTTGAATATATTTGATCTTATATTTGTATTTTGTTCAAAAAAAAAGTTGATATTTTTTTTTTATATAAAATTTTTTTTTATTTTTAATTGTACAAATAAATTTTGTAGTTTATTTTATATTGATAATTTTATTTCTTGTATTTATTATTTATATTACTTAGTTAACAACTGCATAAAAATAAATTTATTAAAGATTTTTAGTTTTTTAAATAATTATATTAAAATTAATCGATGTAATTTTTAATAAGTCATTAATATTATAAATTACGCTTTTCATATATATAATTAAATTATACATATTATAAAAGGAAAAACAAAATAGAAATTAATAAAATTGTATTTTTTCTATATCGTTTAAAGTTATGATCATGATTTTGATATTAAAGCAAATATATAATTTGCATTTCTAATTTTAATATTAACGAAATTCAAATTATTCACAGCATTTAACACAAGTAGAATATCGCATAAACTAAACACAAATAATCTAAAGTTTTGTGACTAGATACTTACTTACATATATTTTTAAATTACATTTTTAGAATCCGAAAGGTTTTAATTAATTTTATAAACTTTAAGCGATAGAACAGAAATACGATTTTAATGATTTTATTAATTAAATATATAAAAAATTTATTATATATATATATTTATTAAGGAAATTTTTCGAGTATTTTTATTATAAAAGAAAAAGAAAAAAAAACACTTTATCTAAGTCATATTCCTAGTAAACTACGTATATAAAGGTGTTTAAAAAAACAAAAAACCACCAACCAAAAAAAAAACAAAATATGAAAACAGCAAAAAAATTAAAAAATTTTAAAAAATATTTTTAAATTGCCAGGGAAATCAAAAAAAATTTATAAAAAAAAAATGAATTTTTGTAAAATTTTACCAAACTACGAATAATTTTTTTATTTTTTTCTTTTTTTTTTTTTGCTGATAATGAACTTATGATGGTACATAAAAATTTATTATAATTGGATATACAATATTGTAATAACTGTGTGTATATGAAAAAGAGTATATATGTATAATAAAATATATATGGTTGATTATAATAAAAATAATATCCTTAAACTAAATTTTGTGTTTTGTCTTTTAAATTATTAAATTATCCTTTCCTTCAAAGATTCGCCATTATTAAATTTGGTTTAAAAATTTTTAAATTCATTTGAGCATTTATAATCATTGTTCTCCGAGAAGCCAAGAACATTTGCTTCACTTAATCCATGTATGTTTCTTTCCCAATAATGTATAATTCTGGTTTATTTCGTGTTTCTTGTACAAAATATGTAAGAATCACGAACTAAACTTTTGAAAATTCATTTTCAAACAATTAGGAGAAAATAGTGTATAATTTAAAACAGTTTCATTTATAGAGAAGGTACGGGATAACTCGTGTCATAGGAAAATTTAAGGGAAAACTCGTGTCATAGGACTATTTACACAGATTCAACAATATTTTATTTAAAACTCATATTATTTTTTTGTTTTTATTATTACATATTCTTTAAACAAAATCGTTTTCCTCCAAAATTTCCATATTGAATTGCTACTATATTCTTTAAAGAAAATCATTTTCCACAACTATATCAACCACTTTTCCCACATGCGTATATTTTCAGTTAATTGAAAGTTGAAAAACTTTTTAAATTTTGTATAGTCAGTATCCTTAACTAAATCATTCATTAACTCAGATCATGTGACTAAGTAAAAGTACATCTATCTATTGGTCATCTGAACCCCCCAAGGACTACAAGCTGTTGGTAAGGTAACCTTTTGCTATAATTGCTTCGTTAAGCCAATTTTCTTTTTTTTTTTGTTAAATTAGGGGCCGACATCAAGCTACATTCATATATAATTATTATATATTACATTTTTTTCTTGTTAAATCTTCTTTTAGAATTAGGCCGCAAATGTGCTTTTGAATTTTCCTCAGATTGATTTTTTGTGTTTACTTCCCGTTTTTCGATTTTTATTTTTCTTGTCGATTGAACTTTATTTCGTTTACCTTTTTTGTATAATTTAAGATTCATTCGTTTTAAATAATTAATTACTTTTGCATTCGACATATTTAAAATTTTTGCAATTTCTTGGGTTGTTACATTCGAATTTGTTTCAACTAATGATCTCAATTTTTCTTTATCAGATTCAATAAGTTCCGGTAATTTTGGGGCTTTTATTGAACCAAAATCACCAGAAGAAAACTTTGAAAACCAATTTAAAGCCTTCTTTTCTGTTAAAGCATCTTCTCCATAAACATCACATATTTTCTGAAGGGCTTGATCAGCAGTTTTTCCTTTGTTAAAATAATAAAGTAAAATATTTGGAAAATGTTCATCCGGAATTTCCATATTTTACATTTTTTTTTTAAATAACATCAATTTAATTTATTTAATAAATATGTGTTTTTGTATATAAAGAAAAAAAAAAATTAAAATAAACAAAAAATTTTGATTGACAATTTTGAAAAAATTTTACAATGTTGACGCTTTTTAAAACACTTGACATTTTGTCTAAATATTGTAGTAGAGGTATGTAGTAAACTTCTACTTAATATTTAAAAACTTTAATAATAATACGAAGTAAAAATCGAAATTAAATAGAATTTTTGACTGATACTTTAACATTATATCTATGTAAGTGTAATTATATGTAAGCTATTACATTTATGAATTTTAAAATTAATATTTTTTACAAAACATTTTTCTCTATTGTAAACAGCATACTAAAAAATTAAGGAATGTGTACAATTATGTGAGTTTTCATATAGGTACATAATTCATATAATTCATCTCTTTGGGATAGTGTAAAATTAATTGTAGCGAATAGAGATTATGAAAGTAATACTGCAAAACAATGACTGCGAAACACACTACATATTGCAAAAACATATGCAATATTCTATTTTAATTATTCTATAAAATTAAAACAGTTTATATTATTTAACTACTCATAGTAATTGCGCTATATTGCAAGAATTTAGCAATATTTTTGAACAAATTAGATTAGTAACATTTGTTTATGTACATAAATATACCGCAGTTTTAACATATATAACTCAATACGAAAAGGTCCTAATGTTAATGAATAAATAATATAAAATATTTTAGTAAATTTACTATATTTGAACATAACAAGAACTTGTAAAAAAATTATATACAATATAAATAATTTTGTGTCATCTATATGTCAATATTATAACTATTTTTTTAAAAGATTTATAAACACACAAACAATATTGATATTGTATGTGACACATAGTGACTCACAAATAGAAATACATATATTATTGTTGTTATATAAAAAATATACTTATTGCACATACAATTTACAAATTTACAATATTACATTATTATATAATATTATTATATCCTGGCTAGGTACATAACATACCATTAAATTTTATTAAATTCAACAAATAATTTTCTACTATACTTACTATAATGTGCTTACAACTCTTACAAACATATTAATATATATATAAGTATAGTATACAAGAAAACTTCACCAGTTAGTAATCTCAAATATGAAAATGTGTGTATATGTGTTTTTTTTTATGTTTTTGTTTTTGTTGTGTTTTTTTTTAAGAAAAATCTTTTAGATTTAGCTTAATTTTAATAAAACTGAGTCAGTCTTTTCGTGGTCTTCAAATGTGACGGTTTGTGTTTATAGTAAAACGGAATTTTTAGATGGTAAAAAGAGTATAAAAGAATAATATTATAAGATAATTTACCTACATACATACATATATAGGAAAATAAAATATAATTATATTTATATACATAATATATTATTTATTTACATGCATAATATAACAATAGTACTTTTTTGCAGTATATAATGTGAATTTTTTGTTTTATATAAGTAGCATTAGTTTTATTTTTTTTGTAATTATTCTTGATCAGGTTTAATTTTTTTTTTGGTTAAATTTAATATGAAAATCTTTTATTCTTATATGTGTATGTATGTTTGTATATTTATAGAATGTAATCGGAAAAATATTAATCATTCTAAATTTGGATAAGAAACACATGTGAATTAATTAATATAACAAAAAAGTTTGTACTATTATACGAAGTGTTTTTTTTTTTGGTTTAATATTTTTATACCTACGAGTAGTTAAAAAAAATTTATATATCGTAAAAATTTTTGATTTTATTTTAAAAAAGAATTTATGTTTCTATAAGTATTATGGATTTGTATGCACATACTTGCATACACATGTATAACAATTCGAATACAGTAAAGGGTTGCAAAGAAAAAGGATTTATATATAACAGAAATGCATAAAATAAATTTTTAATGATAAGCAGTGTTACATTCGTATGTTATATTTAATATATATATTTACTGTCTATATGTAATATTAATTTATGTACTTTAGGTATTTGCATTTTATCTTATGATCACACATACTGGCATATATTATATTTATACTTACGTTTGTAGTAATTTTAAATTAGTGCTTTTCAAATGAAGTAATAATAATCTACTACAATCTATAATATTATTGTATTATATTAATAAAGGGTTAATATTATTTTGTCATCCTTGAACCTTTAAAAAGAAAAAAGGTATTTTTGTTCTACACATATACATATATTTCGAAAATAGTTAGAAATTTTGGTTTCAAAATTGCAGTAAGCAAGTAGGTACGCCGAATGAATAAAAAATTACAGCAATTACAAATTATAATTTGAAATTTTTTAAGACCTACAAGAGGGATGTATGAATTTCAATCAATTTTTTTCATATTAGCATTAAATTTTCTTAATATTTTAAGATTATCCCTAATAAATTTAACAGTACTTACTACATTCCGTAGGTAGATACCATGAGTGCTACGATATTTAGAAAGTAATAGAAAAAATTTACATAATATTAAAAAACACACAACAAGTTTCGATGTAACAATAAAATCGCATATTGTGGCAAATCATAAATCTGTTAAATA